CTAATATTTGATGAAGTCGTTGAAGTGAGAGAAGTTCGTTGTTCATGAATATAAGTTCGCAAGGCGCCTAAAGTGAAAAGGCTAGAAATGACGTTGTAGGTTAAATTCTTCACATTCACATTAAGCTTATCTTGTTGTACGGCTAGAAGACTCTTGCTTGCTATTTGCCACAACTGTCTTCTATTGGTAGCTGTACCGAATCTAACGCAGCTTAAAAATAGCTGTCTAAAAAAAACAAAAATATAAAAAGTTGCTTATTTGGAAATAAAACGTAAAAATAAATTTATATACCATAAAGATATTGAGAAGTAATCAGGTAGCGTGATGTAAGTCATACCTAATATATACACCGCACATACAGGGTGTTTCTGAAATAAGTGGAGGAGCTTTGGAGGGTGTTAACTAGATGCAATAGAGAATCGCATGATGAATAAAACAACGTGATTAAAGGATAGAAAGGTTTGTAAGAAAAGTAGATGAGGTTACAATCCGAAACCGGCCCTGGACGTGAATTGGTAACACAGGTATTAGTACAGTGTTGCAGAACGTAAATACTGTTGCTTGTGGAACGAACAATACCATAAATATCAACAGCTTAATAATACTACACTACTGCACACAATAATACTTTGACGGCCATTATTAAAGAAACAACTTTGTTCATCGCTGAAAGAATGTAACACTACTTAAAATGCACGTCAAAATGGTATTAAGAACACAAAAGAATGATAAAATTATTACGTAATTTAATATCTTCTGAATGGGTAATGGTACTTTTATTAACTATAAAACATATTTCAACAACAACATCGAGGTATTGCCAAAATACTTTACCTACTTATTGGTGGTCCGCCAATAGCCCTATCCTCCCATTAGAAAAAATGAATTACAACATCCGTAAACACACGCACAACGTACGTACACTCCAAAAATTGTTTGAAATTCGAAGCTCGTGCTAAAAGGCAGACTTCGAGGCGTCTACCAAAATTATTGCCGGTTTCTTTTAATCTCTGTAACGCATTTAAAACGGTTTGTTGATGAGAAAGTCTTCGCTAAAGATATCGATGACCGTACAATTCAACTCTGTTACATTAACTTTGTACTTGCATTACCCGTAAATCATGTCACAAAGTTCTGCCTAACTAAATGTCATTGTAACAACTATGCACTAAAAGAACAAAGAACTACTATTAGGCTCGTTGTAACAAACATCGTCAATCACACTTAATCTAATCAAACAAATAACAAATACATGAATGTAAAAATACAAAAGAAATTCAACACGAATGCTGCTAAGTACCAGCTTATTGAATACGGCGTTGCATTGACGCATTTCTTTTCATGGTCGGAATTACATTTGCCTGTACTTTCAGTTACGTTTTTCTCGAAAACTTAACTTAATTTTCTTGTTTTGTTATGCCCTATCACTTCCTGCACGATTTGCTACTTATTTCAAAAACACCCTGTATATTTGATTTATAAATAATTATTAAATAAAACTCAGTGTCACTTAAGACATCTACGCGGGAGGAGCCGGTAAAATCTAGTATATTGTAGAACAAACAAAATAGCTCAATCCCCAATGTCAAAACACGACACATTAGATGTCCGAAGCACTTTTCGGTAACAAGGTTACCTTCTTCAGGGATTGAAGTTCACTTGTTACCGAAAAGTGCTTCGGACATCTACAGTGTCGTGTTTTGGCGTTGGGGTTCGAGCTATTTTGTTTGTTCTACTACAACCGCCAAAGTTTTTCCAGTCTTCATATCTAGTATATTATAAAAGGATTAACATTAACATTTCAAGATACGGTGCAAATAACATTTGGTTTAATTTTTAACTGTTTCAGAAGAGCGTTTAAAGGTTCATGATTATTAAATTATTATACATTGAGTTTTTGTTAAATATGTACGAAGACATTTTTGTAACTAGCTACGAGTCGCGGACACCTTCGACAGCAACAGTGTAATGGATTTAGGTAGAACACGTGCGAACACACGTGGAACGTTCGTGACGGCGACCTCGGCGAGCTCTCTCTTCACTTTTATTTTTAATATTAAACAGTTAATTACCAAATCTATTTCTTTTATACCATCTTACAATCTCAGGGATGAAGTAGAGCCGTTAAAGTATCAGTAAAAAGAGAACCGAGTATGTTTTTACTAATCAAACAATGCGGTAGTATTAATTTGTGAGGTGATATATATAAATCTTTGCTGTGTGCATTGATAGAAAAGCAAGATACTTCTTACAAGTTGCTGTGTGCAAATTGGAAATTTAAGTCAAGAGCTGTGTACAACAACGATTATTGTTTTTCAAGTTTGTATTATAAAATGAGTTCGGGAAAATGATCACCCAGTAAGATTACTGTTTATGAGTTAAAAGGAAAACTAAAAGCAGCAAATCTACCAATGGCGGGTTCTAAAAGTGAACTAGTTAACCGTTTAATGAAAGATGATCCGAATCCAGACAACGCAAACTGTAGCAATGTCATCGGAAAAGGCACTTTTTGAAAAAGAACGACAATTGTTTGCCCGAGAAAAACAGTTAATGGAAAAAAGTTACGAGAGTTAAGTTTGTAAATGAAGTTTTAAAGGGATTAATTGCTTCAGGTGGTGTAGTTGCTTATTTCGATTATTTTTTGATAGCACCCAAAAGCCTTGAAGATCATTTGATGATTTTAAAAAGGGTATTTAAAATGGTTAGCACGAAATATGTTGCAGTTAAAAATCGATAAATGTTCATATTTTCAAAAATTTGTAGAAAAGTTTTCTATCCTTGCGAAATCCTTATATGATTTGCTCCGGAAAAGTGTAACATTTAAATTTGAGGCGGATCAACTTCACGCTTTTCAGATTTTAAAATCAAAATTAATTGAATCACCAATTCTTTCTACATTTGATCCTCACGATGACACCAAGCACCATTGTGATGCGAGTTCTTTAGCATTCGGTGCCGTATTGATGCAACGAAAATATGATTTAATGTTTCATTCGATATTTTATTTTTCTAAACGAACTACTGACCGAAAGCAAATATCACAGTTTTGAGCTAGAGGTGCTAGCTATTGTTTACGCAATAAAAAGATTTAGGGTATTAAATTATGACTGACTGTAATTCGCTTAAATTAACGTTAAATAAAAAAGAAATAAACCGCCGAATCGACCGTCTACTAGGACGACGCATGTAGATGATTTGAGCAGATCTCACTGTATAATGGTGATAGAAAAATAATCCTTTTGAATTTAATTTAACAATTTGTCAAAACCAAGATTCTAAATTCAGTGAAGTACGTAAAAAGTTGAAATCTGAAGATAATATGTTTGAAATGCGTTACGGACTGGTTTACAGAAAGAAAGTAAAGGGTAAAATTCTATTTTGAAGGCCTGAGAGCATGGAAACTAGTGTCATTTACAGATATAATGAAATGGGTCACAGAGGTTCTAATAAGGTTTGCGATAGCATTCAGATAAATTATTGGTTCCCGAAAATGAAGGATAAGGTTAATTGCCTTAAGTGTATTGCATTTTCACCGTCTTCCGAAAAATAATTTACCATTCACAACTGTACATACTGATCACTTTTCCGAATTTCTAAATTAACAGTTTGCAAACATAGAAGCGGCTTCTTTTTATTAGAAGCGACTCGACCCTGCGCTATTCTCTGGTTTATATCCCTACTACTCCTTCCGTCCTAACTTATCCTATTTCCTAGGTTCAACTTCTTCTAATTCTTCGTCTCCTATCCTTATATTCGCTCTTTCCCTACTTTTTCCTCCTTTGCATACCAGTATTTTTGTTTTACTTTTATTTATTTTCATATAGTACTGATCTGTTAGTACCGCCTCCATTTTATTTAAAGCTATCTCTAAGTCCTCCTTGCTACATGCTAATACTGCTATATCATCTGCAAATCTAATAATATAATAATCTTTTGCCCCTGTATATCTATCCCTAGTTTTAAAAAGTAGCGGTGACATGTGCATCCCTGTCTGACTCCCTTTCTAATATTTACCTCTCTACGTTGCAATCCTAGCTCTATAACTGCCTATTGTTTTTTATACAAACTAAGTATCACTCTTCTATCTTTGTGACTCATCCCTACATTTTTAAGTATATTTAATATCTTATCATATTTAACATTGTCAAAAGCTTTTTGTATATCTACAAATCCTATGTACGCACTCTTTCCTTTTTCTATCGTTTTCTCTATTGTTACACGTAAAGCTAGAATGGCCTCCCGCGTTCCTCCATTTCTTCTAAACCCAAATTGATCTTCCCCTAATAGTTCTTCTGCCTTTTTGTCCATCCTATTCTGTACAATTCTAGTTAAGATTTTTGACGCATGAGAAGTTAAGCTAATTGTTCTAAATGTCTCGCACTTATCCGCGCCTCTCTTTTTAGGTATGGTCACTACCACGTTCCGTTTATAATCCTCTAGAACTTTCTCCGTCTCGTAAATGTGACTAACTAGCTTAAACATACGATCTCTAACCTCTTGTCCTGCATGTTTTAGAATTTCCCGTTATACCAACTACACCTGGCACATTATTCATTAAGTTTTTTTATGCTACATCTAACTCTTCTCTCATAATGGGATAACCTAGCTCATCTATCTACAAGTGTAAGCACATGTACTTATTATCTTAACAACTGTGTCTTATATTCCCACTGACAATGTAGTTTGATAACACCGTGAGAGGCAAAGTGCATCATATCTTAGGAGTATAAAAAATAATCTGTAAAATTCCTATACAGGTATGAATAGATTTAACGAGAACCACGAGAATTTGAATGATAATTTTTCTATCAATATGTGTGATTGATTAAGTCAATAGAATGTTTAATATCTAATAGTAATTATGTGAAGTGTCTTTTACTCATGGCTTATTAATTGCTGGCATAACCTATCTAAGTTATTAATATATACAATATATATTGAATGTAGAACCCCTCTACTTTTCAAAAAGAAATAAGTAAATAAGTAAATTAAATAAGTACCTTAATCCTTTTCCTTCACAAGCATGCATGTTTGACAAAGCTATATCCATTGGTAATTGTAACAGTTTCCTAACTTTTGATAGATCTTCCTTTGTACAGACAAGTATACTTTCGCCCACTTCCCTGAAACCGACCCTTCCAGCATGGCCAACCATTTGCTTATAATGGGATAAATTTATAAATTCCCCATCGATATATGGCTCAGCCAAAATCACCTACAACAGAATATTAACAAATAAAATTAACAACAGTAAACAATTTTAATTTGAAAAGAAAATACAAATATTGAAAACATCAATATACTCGTTTTGCCGGTAAATTTACACCCGCAGCTAAAGTACAGCAGATAACAGAAATAACACCTTCTCCAAAAGCATCTTCTAGAAGTCTTCGTTCTTCTGATAATAGTCCAGAGTGATAATAAGCAATTCCATGCTTAATACTAACTCTGAGAATTTCACAAATATTATTGTTTCCTTCGCTTTTTAAAGCAGTTATCAGATCATTTTTCTCCTTTTTCTTATGTTCTCTTAAAGTACTTTTAAAACATATATTTATAATAAACAGTAAATTTAATAAATTTAAACTTACGCAAAAGCCACTTGGCATAATAAATGAGCCACATTTTGGCAGTTTTTGTTTGATGAACAAAATATCAAGCAAGAATCATGTGGCACTACTTCCAATGAAAGACCTCCAAGTCTTTCAGGATCAATTTCCTTTAGCAATTTAGAATACTTAAAAAGATGTTTCTAAGGAGTTTATTTTTTAAAATAAAAGAATTACTTACAGAATAATTTTCTTTTCTCACAACTTGGAGAAACTCATTATCTCGTTTATCCCAGTGAATCTTGGCAATTTCATCACCGACTTTAACGTATTCAATGAGTTTGACTGGTCGAAAATCACTTTTATATAAATCAGCTTTTAAAAATGTACAAATATCAGATAAATTTCCAATAATCGTGCTTATACCAACAATTTGAATGTCTTCTGAAACCAAAGATAAGACGGCTTAATGACATCTAATTGTGGTGACGTCCAGTCTTGTTTTTATTACAGATGGACATGTGTGAATTGATTATAGGCCAGAAATAGACATATACATCAGCACTAGATTTGTTTTCAACTACAAAACTTATAATGACCGTCGCCTTGAAAACCAGTTATTTATCAATAGAATATAGAAGTACTTTTTGAAATTACGTTATCCTATTAATTTTTTCTCTAAAACCTCTTTGTGGCAACAGTATCTGTGAGTACTAATGAATTGAAAAAAGCTATTCATCTTTACATGCTCTTAACTAGTATGATTTAAAAAAGAAAAATACAGTGTTAATGTAAAAATGCAATACTGAAGAAAACCATATGTTTGTCACAAATGTCATGTGTTTGTTCTTGGTTTAAAGTGCCCAACCTTCTTTACCTGTATGTTTCATTTCGTTTATGTACATAATTTTGGTCAGAAAAGTTTCAAGGGTAGGTCCTGCTCCTGGCTCCCCAACTAAATGAAGTTTGTCAACAACTACAAGTCCTATTTCATCTAAACGTCCCGTTTCTATTAAACTATCAAACAGTCCTAAAGCTTTTTCTGTGGTGACAATGTACATTGAATTCTTATATCGCCTTTTCTTTGGTGGGTACATGCCTTTATCAGCAGTATATTCTTCAATTAAGAAATCAAGAGCTACGCCAAATGGTGACAATGCCCAAACCTATTCAAAAATATGAATTATCGAAAAAAAAAAGAATAGATATTACTAAAAGGTAATATACTTTCTCTTGTACACGAGTGGCATAAGGCAAAACAAATATAACGTTTTTTCTACGACAAATTATTTCTCGTAGCATAAGAATTTCAGCAACAAGTGTTTTCCCTGCAGTAATAGGTAAGGCATACACTAAATTAGAATGATTTTTTATAGCGGGTAGATTCAAACATTTCTCCTGCCAATCTAAAAAATTATCAAATAGAAATTATATTTCATTTTATAGTAAATAATTGTAATTAAAACATACCATATAGTCTTTCAATTCCCTTGTAATGTTGTATTAGTTCATTTACTTTCGTGGGCAAACCAAAAAAAGGTCCATACTCCTTAAATTTATGCAAAACCTTAATTAACACACTCTTATCAACTAAATATTTTGAATTTATAGACGTATTGATATTTTTTAGCAAAGCATTTTACATAGAATTATCAGAATTGCTACTATCTTCATCTATATTATTAATTGTATTGGAATCATTCTTCCAATCAACTTCAGAATTATTTCATTTGCTCTTGATGAAGGTCTGAAGAGTTTGGACTGTGTGGGTAGACTTAAGGGAGGAATTAGAGCACTGCTGTTCACAGATAATGATTAAATTTATCATATATATATTCAATGTTATTATTCTTAGTTTAACTTGACTTTAAAAGTCTATTATTATATAATTAACTGTTGGGATAAATGTGGTAAAACCTTTTACCCTATTTAAAATCTTGCTATGTATTGGATTTGTGTTCAACTTTTAACACCCTTTGTATATTTTTGTAAAGTCACTAGCTCCTTTAAGACAAATAAATAAATAAATAAATATTGAACTTACTTGAGCTTGATGTTGAGAAGTTTTAAATAACTGCGTAGAGCAAATATCAACAGTTCCATTCCAGAAATCATCTTTACTTTTATCTGCACTTCCAACGGTTTCACTATCTGTCTTTAAAACTTTGTATACACAGTCTGTCTTCTCGAAACTCTTTCTTTTCTTTCTATTTGCGTCTTGTTTTGTAGAACAAGGGTCAATTTGACTAAGTACAGATTTTGAAATTGAATTTTTAATTTTTGGAAGACTGTTTGATTCATATTTTTCTAGTTGTTCTAGAAACTGTGTATAGAAGTCTAAATAAGTAAAAAAATTATCTTCATCCTGTTCAAAAAGGTCTTCATCACTTTCTTTTGAATTTGTATTGTTTTTGTTTTCTGAACCATTAACATTATTCGAAGAATGACTACTCTTTAATGTATTTCCTTCAGAAATATGTTGTTCTAACTCATTAGAAGAACACCTTTTTATTTTAGATTTATCTTTTGAAATGTTCTTGGTAATTTTTACTACGTTCAGTGGTTTGTAGTGCTTATTTGCATGCTTATTTGTTTGGGACTTTCTTTTGGGAGCTTTTACATTAGCTATTGTATTCATTTTCAACACTTTAGAAAAAAATGAGACGGTTTCGTGGTATATCCCTGTAAGTAAAAACAGCAATCGAATCCACAATAAATAAAGCAGTATAATTACCTTACCTTTCGTCAGTTCGTTTTTGTGCAGTAATTATTAGTTTTTAACGTATCTTAAGTTTTAAGTTTATGGTTACGCCGTTTTACCAATTTTTTGATACTGGCTTACGTTAATGGGGAATTTCAAATTTTTAGACTATAGATATGACCATAATATGACTGGACCTGACCACTATATATCTGTTATCTATGATTCACATAATAAAAAAAAAAACAATTTTAATATAGCATTGCAAACAATTGCAAATTTATTTACTATTGTACACCAAAATGAATGAAAATAATTCGAATGAATTGACCAAAACACAAATTGAACGAATAGAAAAAAATAAACAGCGTGCGTTTACATTAAGAAAAACTCAAATGGTTATCCACCCATATTCGAAAAGGTAAAATTCAAATTGTTCTAAAACTGTGGTAACTATCAAGTTATTTTCAGAGACATTATTACTAAAGTTGACAAAGGTACATTAAAAATAGGAAATACAAGGTATAAAGATACTGGTGGAGGATTCCTTCTAGAGCAGGATAATAAATCCAGTGAATTGGTTAGTATCTAATTTATAAAAGCTACATGGTAGAAGTAAGTCTTTTTTCAGACTACATACACACATGTTCCACCAGTATTTGAATGTGATAGACCAATATGTAAAGAATGTAAAAAAGTGTTTGCAAACTCATGGCTTTTCGATTCATTTGATTATAGTGTGTGCGATAGTTGCAAGTAAGACTTTCTTGCTAATTAAAATTACATCAATTGATCGTCACATTACAGAGATCCTGAAATACATAAATTAATTACAAAAACTGATGCATTGAATAAATATTTATTAAAAGAATGTGATATCAATAAACGTGAACCAATACTTAAATTTATTGAAAAGAAAAATCCACATAATTCACAATGGGGAAGTATGAAGTTGTATTTACAAATTCAGGTAATAAGTGATTTTTTTTAATGTGTCAATATCAATTAATATGTTACAGGTAGAACAAAGAGCCTTAGAAATATGGGGCAGTGAGGAAAAGTTGCAAGAAGAATTAAATGGTAGAGAAGAAAAAAAAGTGGAAGCTAAAATAAAGAAATATCAAAAAGAAATGAAAAAACTACGGATGAATATGAGGAGTAGTTTGTATGATAAAACTTCTGCTATATCACACACTCATGAATTTGGATCGGAATCCTATAATGAAGAAGATGACACATACACTCACAAATGTTTAACATGCTTTTACACAGAAACATTTGAAAAAATGTGATGAAAAAGTGATCTGAATGTCATGTATTGCTTTGCTATGGATTTTATTATACTTTATTTAAACAATTTGGCCACCATAAACACTTATAAAAACATGTCTATTTTACTTATTCATATACATAGTTATGGTATAAAAATGATAAAATTAATAATTCCTATTTTTAATCATCTTATATCTTCTCATCAGTTGTTTTGTCTGATAGTACTTACCTTAAATTATTTCAAATATACAATGCAAAATAGTTGTTAAACAAACTTAAAATTAGTTTGATAACTTATTAATTAATCGTTAGTATCAATAATGTTAAATTGAATGATCTGTAAGTAGTGTCCGACCGAAACTGGTTTTTACGACCGAAACCGAAACCGAATTTAGGCAACGGTCTCAGTTTCGGCCGAAACCGAAACCGAAACTTCTTTATAAGGATCATGTTTTGAGAGAAAAATAAAGAAAACGTTATTATAATCAGTCAGTTTTATTTTTTTATCTTTAAATCACATAGCTCTGCAGTCTTTGTGACATTTTCACTTATTGATAATCAAATCAACATAACAACCCCTCATTTAAGGAAATACTTTAATTGCGCCTTAAAAATACTTAAAATAGGTGAGATGTGTGAGTAAGTATAGTAGACTAAACTCATTTTTCTTTTGAAGATGCGAAATGTCTACTAATCTACTTCGCTTGGATGGAATTTAACGCGCCGAACATGACCGAGCAGAGGGGGAGAACTCCCGAATGCAGTTTCGGTTTCGGTCGTAGTTTCGGCAGGTTTACCGCCGAAACCGAAACTCGTTTTTTGCCGAAACTCGACCGAAACCGAAACCGAACTTTCGGTCGGACACTATCTGTAAGGTGTTTAATATAATGTATCATTTAATTTCAATTAAAGATTCGAAGACATTTTTTGAGTTGACTAATCCTTTGAGTTAATATTCTGTACATATTAAAAAACAATGTGAAGTATATACAATAACAAAACTATTAAAAAATAGTGTTTATTTATGGTAGTCATATTGTCAAAAAAAGAAATGCAGTTGAGATTTTATTGTGTGTACGCTCCAGAAATACTGTTTGGAATTTACATAACAAAAATAATAAATAAAAATTTAATATCAATACACTTTCAAAATACTTTTATTAACAGATATATGTACTATTTTGACAAAAACGTCTAGACAACACTAGACTTTTTAAATAATATGCCAATCACTGGGTAAGTCATGTACCTATTGTTTGTTTACTTCTAGTCTCTGCACTAAGTTTTTACAAAATAAGCACCAGTTTTGCAGGGTGGTGTAACGTGTATATTTCCCTCCATTTCTGAAAAAATTGCCACAGAAGAACGATTGTGTCTTAAATGGCTTCTGACTAGATGACCCGCGGCTAATGCGGCCATTAATGATAACTCTCCAGCCAAGACAGTTCCACATACTACCCTTGCAAGTTGATTCGCATTTTCTCCAGGGCATTCGCTATGTGATCCTTTTACACCCAACATCTCTAAGCATGCCGCTTGGGCTGGTAACACAGTTCCTCCCCCTATTGTGCCAACTTCAACTGAAGGCATAGTGCACGAAATATACAAATCTTCCCCGTTTCTGCCCCATGGTTCCATAAGAGTCATACAGTTACTACTGCCTACATTTTGAGCTGGGTCTTGTCCCGTTGCTATAAATATGGCTGTTACAACGTTTGCTGCATGTGCATTAAAACCTCCGATGCTTCCTGCCATGGCTGATCCTACCATATTTTTTGAAATATTTACATCTACTAATGCATGTGTGCTAGTTTTAAGTACAGTAGACACAATTTCTGCTGGTACAACTGCTTCGCAAACAACGGACTTGCCCCTGCCTTCAATCCAATTTACTGCTGCGGGTTTTTTATCGGCACAGAAGTTGCCGCTAATACTCAAAATTTCCATTTCGGGAAATAGTGTTTGAATGAATTTCAGAGACATTTCCGTACCTTTTGAAAGCATGTTCATGCCCATTGCATCACCTGTTGTTGCTACAAATCTTGCAAACAAATATCTTCCGGCTATACGAACTTGAATCTTTTTTAATCGAGCAAAACGGCTACTGGCATCAAAACTTTCCTTAATTTTACCAAAGTTTTCTTTATTTTCCATCCAAACCATAACTTCACTTTAAATATAATAAATAAAATATTACATACAAATATTAGTAGTAGTTTCTGGCATTTCAGTAACTTAAGGCTATCAAATTCATAAAAAGTTCTTGTTATAAAGTAAATAGTAGTAGGTACCTTGCTTTGGCAACTGATGGAAAGCGAACAACAGGCCCTCTAGTCATTCCATCTGCAACAACTCTACTAGTAATACCACATTTGAGAAGCGCACGACTTCCTCGATTAGTGCTTGCAACAAGACAACCTTCTGTTGTAGCCATTGGAACGTATATAACTTTCCCATCAAGAAGTAATGGCCCAGCTATTCCAACAGGAATGGGCATGTAGCCGATTACATTTTCACAACAAGCTCCCATTACCTACAATGAAAAATTACAATTACAACATTACATGCGTGTACTAATGCATAACAAAATGTTATTATACTAAATATTTACTTTTGTATAGTCATAATTTTTGTATGGTAAATCTTCTAATGCTTCACCAAAATTTCCATCTTTTCCTATCATTTGTCTACGGATTCGTACACCGCGTTCGGGGTCATCCACAGCCTTTTCTATTTGATATGGTGGTATATGTTTGTTTTTGACTAATAATATTACCTCTTCATCTGTTAAGGTGGTTGCCCCTAAATCGGATTTATATATAGTTAAGCACTCGTTAACAGACCTCGCCATAGGTGGACATAAAACAGCAATGTTTTTCGATGTAACTTCTTTTGAGTTATTTAGTGGCAGTGATAAGATTTCAACTTCGTTTTGTGTTTGAACTTCTTTGTCAACCAAATCTTTCTCTAAAATGTTATAAGTGAATGAAATGAAAATGAATCATCATTTCATATTACTTATAAAATAATTACCTTCGTTGTCAAGAGATACGTTGTCCAAAAACATGGAATGTGATCTAAAGAAAGGCATGGTTGGAATAAACCTTTGGCGTATGGTCCTGTTCAAATGATTGTTTTGGTGTTCATTTGGATTTAAAAACTCTAAGCTTTGATTATTCATATGCACCCTTAATTGTTCTACAAGCTCTTCTTTATTTTCAAAGAATATAAATTTACAAAGTAGCGCTAATAGCAAAATCAATATAACAATATGATCGGCACTTAGGGCAATCCACCTACAATTGCACAAATCAGAATTTATTTTCAATGTTTCCTTTTAACTTTACCTCATTAGATATTAACTTTACCTCATTAGATACCCATGAAAAGTAACAGTTTGTGTACTATTCAACGCTAAGTGCTGTTCAACGACAAATGGCGACACTGAGTCAATACTTTCTTCATGGGAGGGCCACCGACTATAAAAAACACATACTAGGTGTAAGATGATAACAACGCAAGCGAATCGTATATACTAAACCACAACCTTAGACACTTGAGACTTTCATACTCCATTCCAAAAACGAGCTCAATATGCGGTGACATACAGTGAAAAGGAAAGGTCAACTTTATTTGAATAATGAACAAAGACAAAACTATTTTCATTCACAAAAGATTTTTTTTAAGAAGATACATAGCTACTACTCCATGACCTTTAAAGAATCATGAATAGACTGAATAATTTTAGTTTACTTAATAATCGGTTAACTGAAATAGATATACTGACAATAAAACTAAGCAGAGTTGTAATGTTGGAAAAAGCACCTTTCTTGGGTGCTTTCAAAAGTTCAATTAGAAACAAATGAAGTTGATGCATTTGTTCTATACTTATTTCGATCATGTTATACATATATATTTAAACTTACTACATGTATCGATGAATATGAACTAGCATTAAACCAACTGACATTATTAGTTTGACTCTTCTTACAATGGGATTGGATTTGTTATCTTCTTCATTTAGGGCACTTATAATAAGAGAAGGTCTAATTTCTTTCTTTAAATATATACTGGATGTTCGAGAGAGCTAAAATAAACAAACTTGTTAAAATAAATAAAAAGAAAATTAAGGAGAAAGTATTACCTCCAGAAGCAATGATAAACAAGCTGGGTAAAACGTCATAAATATAACGTAGTTTACCAAAATTGAAAGGCAAGCAAAACCGGAAAATATTTCTAAACGTCTAACTCCTAAAAAGTAATTATATAGTGTGTCTATTTAAGTTGGCAGCATATGGGAAACTTTTTTATTATTAATCCTATGAAAGAAAGTTACTATTTATAAGAAGTCCTGCATGGACTAAAACACATAATGACATGATCAGACATAATATTTTGTCAGTCATATACAAGTTTTGGCACAAAATATGAAATTTGTGTATTAGTAAAGTACCTTTATTTTTGAAAATAGCAGAAACCTTTATAAAGAAAAGTTGAAAATTAAAAAGTAGTTACAAATATGCATCAATTTCTATGGATTCTAAGGAATCAAGTTCTTTATAGTTATAGACCCCGGCATGAGTGCTTTTTTTTTATTTTAAAACTAATATTTGACATTCCGTGAAAGACTATGTCATTTACATGGCAACTTTGATCAAAATTATGTTATTGTTAATGTGCATGCATAAGTATTCACTCATATGAGGCAAAAGTATAAAGAAGTACACAAAATCATAATTTTAGCAATCAATAGATATGGTTGCATATTTGCAACTACTATTTAACTTTCAACATCGTTTCCTTATAAAGGGTTCTGCTACTTTCAAAAATTAAGGTATTTTACTGTTAAACAAATTTCATATTTTGTGCTGAAACGTGTATATGACTACAAATTATTAAGGCGGATCATGTCATTATGTGTTTTAGATCATGCAGGACTCTTTATAAAGAATAACTTTTTTATAATAAAACAGTTTTCCATATGTTGCTTACTTAAGTAGACACAGTGTATATAGCAAATAGTATTATTTTGTGAAATAATAAAATATCAGCATTTCTCTGAAAGTATTAAAATAAAATAAATATTGTTAGAATATATTATAGTTATTATCTTAGTGGGTCATCAGTTTCCAGTAAATCTAGATATTAAAGTCCAGATTGATAAGAGTATGAAAATAGAAGCCGTAACATCGAGTTTAAAAAGTTTTTTAAAAAATTATTTTATTGCTCCGTCTACTGAATTTAACCACCCAAAATATTCAAGTACACGCCAGTAGTAATACATAATTATTTTATTGGTCAAACTTGACCATTTTCAGCATTTTTTTATATTTTCCTATTATTACATAAGTATTTTATACCTGCTGGACGAATTAGATGTATGAGAATCTATAATTTAAGAAGATATGGTACCTTTATTCGCTCAATATAAAATTTTCGATAACCAGTCCATTTTTTCCACCAACATCAACCCGCACCTATTTAATTATTGTAGTGATCTCAAGTGTTATAAAATCAATATATATATATGTTAATGGAAATGTGTGTAATCCGTCATTGTATACAATTTCTAGGAAATGTATATAATTCCTAAAATTGCCCGGAAATGTGTGAAATAAATTATATTAGACACAATTCCTAGAAAATCTATACATTCCCTAAATAGCAATCGGAAATGTATTACATTCAAGATATCAATGGGTACGCGGGTTAGCAGAGCGAGGGGAGGGTAACAAAACAAATATTGGCCTAGGTACTTTAAAAATTATCTATGGTCAATCCAGGCATTCGCAAAGTCAGGGGAGTATAGAAAGAGCAAATCAGGATATAGAAAATACGTATACCGACCACGTGGATGCAAGACAATAATAATTCGCATTGGAGCGAGGGTATAAAGTTTGTGCAACTCATGAAAAGCATAGCTTTTCACGCTGGTATCAACTAATATCCTTATGAGGCACTTTTTAATTTTAAAAGCACTATAAAATCGTCAAAGTGTTAGGAAAAACTTACAACAACAGTCCAAAAAAATGATGAAATAGAATATCGAATAATAAGTTTCCTCCCGTACCTATTAGCAAGATGAGCTCTATCAAATTTGTACCAAGAACGGAATCATAAAACAATTGTATTCTAGATTTCAGTTCTTTTAGATGTAACGAGTACGGAAATTGTACTATGTTCAGTTGCAAACCTACAATCTACTGGAACCGGCTAAGGATTCAAAAAGTATCTTTGCAAGAAGAACTGTAGTACAGCAAGATGTCTTTGCTATAAAAATAAACTACTGTGTACTTCCAAGTGTTATTTCAGCTCACCCTGCAAATATAAATAAGTTCTTTAGCTGAAGTACTAGTAGACTTCACATGTGACGCCATCATATGATCACATTGTATCTAACCACATGTGCGACCTTCTTTACACAGTTTAATAATAAAGTAGAAAGACTTTTACTTTTACATTGTGATGTAGAATTACTTAAATGACAGACTGATTTCTTACAAAATGAAAGTTTGAACTTTAAAAATGGATAGTTGATTTTTGAAGCTTAATTAGTAATAAGCCCTATGAAGATTTTATATTTTAGGGTATGATTGTTATCTGATTGTCTTAACGAGAGCCTCAATAAAAATTCTGATTCACAGTTTAACAACGTGTGTCATTTATTATATTCCCAGATAACTTTGAATCTCAGTTTACTAACGTGTTTTATTCATTTTATTCACAGAAAGCATTACTTTTATACATTTTCTAGTACAATATCGGAATTTCATACAATTCCTAGTTAATATACACACTTCCCAGGATATGTATGTATTAAAAAATCTTTATTTTATCAAATCGATATTTTATAGATTTCCTAAATAGCCACGGAATTGTATACAATTGTTAGATTTCATACATTTCCGGTAACATATATAACTAAAAACTTTTGGGTGTTTCATTCCCACCAGCCACTAATGCGGGCAGTCCCTCCGGACTACGCTGGAAGGTAGAAGGCCCTTTTCAGCCTCCTTTCAGGAATCGTGGGAATGGGTTGGTGGTGGTTCCGGTGAGAAATATGAGACGGACGAAATGAAGACAGAAGAGAATGAAAGATTATCTGTGGAATATTACTTAATATTTGCCTAAGTGATCCAACGAAACCACAGCAAAACTTAGATCAAGGCAGACGGACTCGGAATCGAACCGGCGTCCACCCGAAAGCTAAGCAATGGTCTAGACCTCTAAGCCATGCCGCTCGGTCATATATAACTGTAGACCACCAGTATTCATATGTGGTAGTACCCTTGAGTGTCTCGTTGTGCACTATAGTGGTTGCATGTCGGTACCTTGTGGTGGTGTGAGAGATATGGTGGCTGAATAAATGTCGTGGATTTAGGGCATTTACATTTATTTTAAGCAAATGTTCCAATTTTAGCGGGTCTATTGGTATGCAGGTTGAACCAACAACACCGTACAAGGACTAGATGCTCTGACAACATAGCACCGCATGATGTAGGTTATGTGAGGTAAAAGTATTAGCAGTCTGCTTTAAGTTAAAGTTAAACAAGTGATTGACTTTTATTTTTCGTGTGTGGGTGTAATAAAGAGGCTAATTTCTTCTCTCTTAAATTGTTTCAATTAAAATATTTTCCTGGACCTGTAATAACATATTTTGTAATAATAAATTCTGATTTAAAGAAAAATTTTCGTATGACTCCAAAATGAAATTACTATCAAACTAGTATCAAATATGTCAAACGAGAGGGAAAATAGTTTTGAAGATAATTCTGCAATTCTGCTCAAACAAAGCAAGATACCATATTCAAATAATGCCATGATTTCATTCTCCATCCTTCATGCTTACAAATACATGACACATTTTGATATACTTGTATTACCTCATCAAGATACAGTAAAACTTATTTGCAGTTCTTTGCTGCCTGACCCTATAATGGAAGGAAAGAATATCTGCTTTAAACAGATATGCAAAAAATCTATTTAAATAATTGCGGGATCGTAAAAACATGTAGTTTTATTAGTTGAGGATATGCACATTAAACCGTTTCTAGATTATTCTTGTTTAGGCAAATTACGCTTTTGTTTTTTATGATATCCAACATAATGTCAACAGCAAAAGCGATTGCGCATATTAGTTCTACCTCCAAAGTTGACTACTTTATGGTTCCTTCATTAATTAGGAGTTATAACTATCTCAACACCGTTGTAGTAGTTGTCTTAAAATAAATATTTTGCGTTATGGTGCGACTGGCACCTTCTTTTAACTGAAAACCCTTCAGAGAATTTATAAATATCGCTTTTTTAATGTTAAAATACCGCACAACTCACGTTGCACAATGCTGTTTGATTGAGCTGACGATACAATTTTCCTGTCTATGGTGACGTCACGCAAGAGCGCCGAGTCCTTGTTTTCTCGGTGTTGTCTTCGAACACCGGCTACCAACCACCAGATAACGAAATAAGTGTGAATAGTCTAAAATGTTTCTGAATGTTTCTAGCGTTGTCCTCAGCTAGAACGCTCTCGAATGTTTGCGATTGTCCTCAAATTCTAAAGTGTATTGGCTCTAAGAAATTGAGAACCGTTTGGAATGTTTAAGGGCCATTATGTTTGAATGGTGAAGTTGGGTGTTGGGTTCTGCCACTAAATTAAGACATTTTCATATATTTCGCACAGTAGTCTAAAAAATATTTGGAATCTCCTATAACGTTCGAGATTTCTCCAGTCTAATGCACGCATATGTTTGAGAATCGACCACCAAACATCCGTTTAAAATACGTAAACCAAATGAAGACGGTCGTTGTAAAAAATAAGTATAAGAAAAAAAAATAAAAAATGAATAAAAAACATTTTTAGGAAACTTATCAAACTCACTGTTGTGTGGGGCATTTTTTATCGACTCTAGTCCTTCATAAAATGCACTGAAAATTGAGATATTATATTTGTAAGAAGCAGTCACCTGAAAGAGCTCCAACGCTTATAACCAGCGCTTCCACTATGGCATCTAGTGTAACTGTTGGTCCTAATATTGCCATTCCTTTGGCAATGTTATTTTTTATTTCATCTTGATTCTTTGCACAAAGAGCAAATTGGGCTAGTATCACTGCTTTAGATAAATCCATTAACAAGATGAAAAAAAACAGCGCATCTCTACAACAGATACAATATGACATTGCTGCTTCTTCTATGTTTCTATGTAACTCACCTAATATCGGCCACATCAAATCGTAAAAGATTTATTACAGTAGTTGTAAACACAAAACTTGAACATACCGTAAATAACCCGGCAATACCTAAAACAAGTAGCAAAAATTTATAATATTACGCTGTTGTTAAGTTTAAGGTAGTAGAGATGAAAACTGACTTATTTAAATTAAATTAAATGAACATTCAAGGTACTATTTTTTTGAAACCTGGCCAAAATAAATAATAGTTTTTGTAAAATAAATATTATAAAACTAACAAGCTTGAATATAAAATTTTAAATTTATAGCATAACAGACAAATAAGACTTTTCAATCCAATTGTATTAATGAATAGTATGGAATTGCATGTATTTAGTGGTGCCACTACATATCGTATACATATTCTGCTTTCATCAGTACCTTCTTAAGGAAGTACTTATTCCAAATTTGAAATATTCCAATTTACATTCGCCTTTAAGGTAATTGGTACTTACTTACCTATGATATATTTCGATCCGAACTTCTGTAAAATACAGAACTGATAATAACTGTACGGTACCGCAAGGCATCGTATAAGGGTCATTACAATTAAGTCTGCAGCGTTGTATTCTGCCTAAAAGTATAAACAGTTGATTAAAATGTACGTGTGCAGATAATGAAAAAAGTTTCTTTTAATGGAAATAGTTTCTCTTTAGATGCTCAATAGTATGTAGAAATACGCGTGAATATGCTACATTTATTTTACAACTGCATGAATGTTCTCTCTTTTTTAATAACTTATTCAAACAAAAAGTTCATGGTGGTCAGTTTTAATCGTAACCGTCAAATGTGGATCACGATTTCCTTTTGAATTCCAGAAAACGTAGCAATTTTCTACAGATGGATCTGAATCCCGAAAAATATAGCAGATATAGATGACGCTCACTACGCTATTTGTAGTAACTATAATACTTAAAATTTTAAATAATGTACATACGTATACTTATTGTACAGAAACGTGCACTTAAGTATAAAAATAACTATTTAAAACAAATGTATGACTGCTTTTATACCTCTTGTATGCAACTTGCACAGTCCCGAATAGGGGGTTTTGGGAGTGGAGCAGCATATTGTTGTTCCACTGAAAACATACACCCTGTGAGAGTCAATATCGCCACTATCACTTCCCATGGATGTGCAGCACAAAATTCCCCATGTTTATAAAATAACGTTGAAGCCATTTCTGTAATTTAAATTATAGATAGGATCAAAGGCAGGAATAATGAAATGCTATGAAAATAAATATGTAATAGACAAATAAACAATAATCCATACCAGTTAAGATGAAAAATAAGATATTCGATAATTGAAATGAAAAAAAAAATTTAACTGTTTAAAAACAAGTTCGTTTTTTCTAGAGCTTCTTTTTAGACCGATTTACTCTTTAGTATCTGATGGAAGTACATAGAACCCTGCATGAAGTATCGATGCAGCGTGCAGCATACGGAGAAGTAATAATCTGCATTTTACATACTTTAAATAAGAGCAAGCTTATTTATTTTCTTTTATCTGTCTTATATTAGTGTTTCAATAATTTACTAGCAAGCTAGTTCAAATTTGCACCGTGGATACCGTTATCGATGGAGCATAGCACTTACCTAATATTTTAATGTTGGCAACATTTTCAATAATTTTATATTGCATTTGCATGAACGTCAAACATTAAAAATGTAATTGTTACAGCATGTTATTGAAATGTACATATATGTACGTAGCTACATGCGATTAAAATAAAAACCTTTAAACCTACTCACTTCTTTGCAATTGCTTATAATTCTGATTAAATGATAACAGTGTAGAACTAGAACTAAACTCTTCCGACTTCGCCGCAACTACCTATAAGGGCTGAACTTGTTCTTAGAAAGATTCCAGAATGAAGAGTATACATGGTGTACATATAATAGAAATAAGTGTGAAGCTTGCAGAAGGTGATAGTGTATTATAAAACAAGAAAATTAAGTACTATGTCAGAATGTTCATTGTTTTCAAGAAAAACATAACTAAAAGAACAGTTCAGTTCAATTAATTCCGGCCCTAGTATAGAAATACGACCAACAACGCTGCACTCAATCAGCTGATAATCAGTGTAGTATTTGCTTTGTAATTTTTGCTTCATCTTCATAAGGTTGTCACTTCTAATACTGGTTGGACACACACCTCCACTCAATCCTATCTTGAGCTAAAACTGGAACATCCCACATCTTTAATTATTTGTGAACAGTAATCCAATCCAGGTCTACATCTACTCCTCTCAACTCCTGTTCCTGCTTCTGATATGCCTCTGACTAACCCGTCATGCCTGAGATGGTGTCCTACCAACCTATCTCACTTATTTCTTATTGAATTCCATAGAGTTTTCTGTTCTCCTATTCTTTCTAATAATTCTTCATTTCTACCTACATATACAGGGTATCTCACGGTTACCATTCGTTAGAATATTGCGGAAACTACTTCCATTTAAAATTTGAAAATTTCTACAATGGCGTTAAAGGGTACGCTCTCCTCAATTAAAATAACGGCATCCTATGTAGCACTTCCAGTTATACCGAAAGTTGATATCAACTTCGTTATTTTAAATGGGACGCTATATATACTATGACGGTTTTGAATTATAATAATTATGATTCTAGGCAAACTTTCATAAGAATTTCCTACTTCTAAAATTTGCCGTTTTCGAAATATTCTTTTTTAAAAAGTAACACAGAGCAGTAGGTAGCGAAAGAGCATGCTTATTTTACAGTAAAAATGCTGAAGCAACAATGTTGAGTGTCAACGTTCTATATCCATTGTTTCGCTATAGCTTTTAGGTGTAATTTTGTAATTGGGGTTGTTAGTCATTTAAATAAGTTACTTTTACTTTATTTTGTTTACGTTACAAACAATTAGTTTATTCTTAGGTACCTTTTCCATTGTATATTTGTATATTGATTTTTAATGATAGGTGTGTCATTAGGGGTTTATCCCAACATAATTGTATTTCAAATAGTTCGTATTCCTTATCTTTATTTTGTAGTCATAAAATCTATTACTATTTTCGTTAGAGTACAATGGTCGATACAATTGATCAATACCAAGAATTGTTGCACGCTGGACACTTGCACGTACACCGATCTCTCCCTTTCTCTTCTTATCAAACCGCACCCCTTATACCCCACTTTCTTATCTTGGACCAACCACCCTGTTTCTTCTATTCCTANCCAAACCTATACATATATGATAGCTGCACCTTTTACAAATTAGAGCAGTTTGTACCTATTTGTAAATTTATTTTAAAAACAACTGCTCAGTGGATATCACCTCTTAAGTGAACGAAACTTAAATTGTAGAAGCGAACTCACAAACGGCAGACTAGACGTGACTACAGCGTTGCCAGTCTGTACGATAATTATGGGGACATACGATAATTTTGCATCAAATACGATGTACGATATCGTAATTAAAATTTCTATTAAACGTACGATAATTCGTGCTTATAGTATAAAATATATTTTGAAATAGTAATATGTAGTGGGACTATGATATTTGTTTCTGCCAACCAGTTGCCTTTTTTTCTACCTTCTTAAAATCTTTTGTTAATAGAACAAATGGTCATTTGAACAGTCTCTGGGTATTTTCACTCCATAAAAATACAAATTCTCTCTAATTTACAACAGAGCAGACAAACTCGGCTCTTTTGATTCTCGAAAGTCAGGAAAGTTTTTATAGTGTCATCTATTGATGGTATAATAGAGCTGAGAAAATCACTGGGGTACACAGACTCTCTTTACAAATTCATACTCCCACCACTAGACTATTACTCCGATGCGCAGGCGCAATAACGTACGATATTTTTGTGTTAATACGATAATTTTTCCTAAAGAGTGCGATAATTCTATCTACTGAACCTGGCAACGCTGATATTCATCAAGGAGAATAAGTAAACAACAAAAATAAGTGACAACCAGAGAGAATAAGTAACAATCATAAGAACAGTAACAATCAAATAACAATCAAGTGACAATCACCAGCGACAATCACAAGTGTGACAATCAACAGAACCAGTCAAACATATTACAAGCCGTTTAGTAAAATAATAGTTAAGTAATATTAATATTTTTTAGCGTTAGGTTTTTATTAAAGTGTCAAATTTAAATAAACAGCACATTAAAAAACTAACGTGAGTTTTAATCATAAAACAAGTTCGTCAAACCAGGCGTCAACATTAATGGTCCTTCGAGCCGGATAAGTTTTTACACAAACAATTTTGCGAGGCAGCCGTTTTCTGGACATCAACAACCAGCGGAACAGTGAAATTGTACAAGTGAAAATTCAACGGATTAGCGAGTATTACTTCTAACTGTTAATTTTACGAAACTGCAGTTCGACTATCAGTACATAAGTGTATACCAAGTGAAGTACATAGTGTGTGCTATTCCAAAACTGTTAATTTTGCGAAGCAGCCGTTTGAACGTCGCCGACAGACACCGGAACAGCAAAACAACAAACAGACAAGGATATATACACATCCATAGCAAGGAATCTTGGACTACGATCATCAGACCCAACAACGACACCGGAGCCTATTTTGGGGTAAGCTTGTTTAAAACTATCACAAATCCTATTCCTATTTTTCTGGCGTATTTAAATCTCTCCTTAAAACAATGGCTAACCTTGATTTGCTCAAACGTAAACAAATCGACATCAAAAAACGTTTAACCCGATTTCACCATTATATTGCGCAAAATCAAGAATCACCCGATGTAGAACTTCTTCAAATAAAGCTTGAGGCGCTTAAAACACATTTTGGGAATATGTACGAGGTATACGAGCAGACTACAGGGCTAGAAGCTACAATTCAAGAGGAGCAAGATGACGAGATCGAAAACATAGAAGAAACTTTTTATCGAGTAGTAGCAGATACAAAGCGTCTAATTCAGGGTAGAGCAGAAAATAAGTCTCATTCTACCGCCATTCACAGTTTACCATCTTCTCGTCCAGTAATGAGTCATTTACCTGAGGTAAAACTAATAAATTTCGATGGCGCAGTCGAGGAGGGTTAGGTTTTTATTAAAGTGTCAAGTTTAAATAAACAGCACATTAAAAAACTAACGTGAGTTTTAATCATAAAACAAGTTCGTCAAACCAGGCGTCAACAAACAATATTCTTAAAAGCGATAGCTATACCCTCAAGCTTCCCGTCCATACTTTCAAAGTGGGTTAATTACACACAGGGCGTTAAATATTTAATGATGGATTTGGTAGTGAGTTTGTATTGCAATATACTATTCGGAGACATTCCTACAGGGATTAAGTCGGTTAAGATGAATGACCTTCATTTTGACCCGTAGTCCCTTCTAAATGGACCATCCCAAGCTTGTTGTAGTTTCAAGCAACGTTCCTTCGGCGTCCCTTCGGCATGCTGTATCGGTTGCCGAAGTCTCTCATTGGAAATGGTCCTGCTACGTCGACTACGATTCTCTCAAATGACGCTCGCACGTTGTACTGCTGCATTCGTCCATGACTTGCATCAGTCTTCAACACAAAACCGTGTGGAACCAGCACTAGAGGAAACCCAAGAACTTTGAGATAGTTCGATCACCACTTGTTTATGCAACTTAAGTAAGCACTAAGTTACTATCTGAAACACTCCCAACTATGTGCTTTCGCATACCTTTTGATCGAAATCTTTTAAATTGGCTGCTCTAACAGGTATCATTGTTACTCTAATTCGTATGAGCGTGAGTCCCACCAATAATGCATTTTGACCTCGATTTTCTGATTCAACTAACCTTACTAATCCATTGATGTCGCCTATTCTTACAATGGCCTTGGAGTGATACGGTGGTACTCGACCTTCCCCTACATCACTTTATAGGCTTCGACTTAGCATTTGACATTACTGTGTCTTATTCACCGATGCGCACTTATTTATTCATAGGCACGTCTGAGAATTTCTCTTAACTGGACATCAACAAACAGGGATGGTTCGCAAATATACAATTACTTTCATAAACTTTTGCAAGCACCCGCTGTGTCGGCGTCTTCTAATTCAAACTCAATATTTTTAGAACCGGATGGGCGTTACTATCTCTGTTTGTCGAAGGGCGTATCTACCCCTCTATATATTAATCATTCCAATTCATGCACAAAGACACAAGTATTTCAACGTTGTACCAACGAAGTTGTTACGTGACATTTCGGTGA